GCCAATAAGGAAGTCACCTCCGGGAGTAACACAACCTTTGTGATTGGAGATCCCATGAAGAAGGTTCAATGTGATAGAAACAACTCGTACTGTGTGACTTGTAATAGCACTACTTATATTGTGCTCATCCCTATGGTGATAGTGCTAATAATAATGTGATGTTAGGAAGTGTTTAGCCTTGAATGAGTACCGAGGCAAGAATTCTCGCAAGGTGTGGGTCACACACACACTTGGAGGACTCACCTATGTAAGAGTTGCCATGAGGCCGTGGTTATGAGATTGAGCTATTCCTTAGAGACTCTTACTAGAATTAAGATTCGAGCACATGGCTATTAAAAGCGCTTCCCACTATGAACTAGAGTCTAAATCGATACTGTGTGTGGAACAATTGAAATTTGATCAAAGGGACCTAATTTAAGGTTTAGTCCATTATGGTTCCCTCAAATGGAAATTGTTATCACTAAGTGAGGTTCAAATCCAAAAGACACCTACACCTATTGCACAGTATTATGTTGCTACTATTATATATTTTTTATTTATTTTGAAAGCTTAAAACTTGTGGGGGATTGTTGTAACTTAAAATTAAGTTTTAACCTTTTAACAATTAACTCATTTAAATTTCAGTTTCTATTTATTTAATAATCATTTTTCACACAATTAAAACATCATAACTCATGTTATAACCTCTATTTTAATGACTTAATTGTGGGGATTGATTTTATCTATAAAAGGAGGTGGATTTCTCATTGTTTTACACAACAAAATCAAATACAATATACTCTCTAGTCTTTTCACACATCTCCCTTTTCATACTACTCTCTAGTCGTATTATATTATGTTCTATTCTTCTTCTATAAAAATTTTGGCAACTGATAAAGGCTCGTTCAATTTTCTCCCTATGGTCGTGCTTATAGAAGGAGAGCCACATGGATTTTATCTTGGAGCCGTGTAGTGTCGAAAGGACCCGCACAAAGAGGAGGCAACGCGACTTTAGGATTGCGTCGTCGACGTGACTCCCAAGGCTTGATTTTCTAACCTTCTTCTTGTTTTATATTATTGTTGAATTTATGTTTATTTCATGTAATTGAATATGCTAATTGATAAAATTATCTACACACAAATCACCAATTTTCCCAATAGTGCATTCTTTGGTTGAAATCTATCCTTTAAGGTCATTCCAAATCTCATAGGCTGAGGTGGGATATATTATGCTAGTAGATATCTCTTTTGAAACTGAACTAAGGATCCAAGAGATTACAATATTATTATTTCGAATACAGCAGTTGATCAATTCAGAATCCACATCTTCTGGTTTAGTGATGGTTCCATCAACAAATCCAAGTTTATTCTTCACAGATAATTCAATCAACATTGCTCGACTCCAGGAAGTATAATTATCTTCTGTGAGTTGCTGAGAGACGAAAATCAGTCCTGGACTATCCGAATGGTGAAAGAAGTAAAGGTTGGAAGGATCATCAATTGCAGATCTGCTTGAAGACGCCTCTGCATCAGGAACATTTATTGACCGTGTTGATTCCATTTGAAATTCAGAATCTGGATCAAGGAACAAAGGAGTTGATTTCAATGATTTTGGACTTGATTGAATAAAAAAAAAATCTGAACGCAGCAGTTAATTTTGTTCTGATACCATATTGGATTGAAGGATGGAAAAATGAAATGTTTATTGATCAATTGTTCTCCAGAAATCGATGGTACACATACATATATATAGCACCCAGCATTAGCGCCAAAGTAACCAAGAGATCACAGCTGCTCTATCTAACTAACCAGCTGTACTTTACATACGGTTCTAATAATAAAGAATTAAAATATAGAGCATCACTGGAGCGTTTAAGAAATTTGATACTCTAAATCTAAATATTTTGTTGATCTTGAAAATTGTGGGAACACGTGATCAACATATCCTGATCCTACTTTTGTTTACACGTTAAGTTCCTATACACTTGAACAAACATTGGTGCACTAGTCTTCTCTGACTATGGGGAGGTCACTGTGAGCCCTACAGTGCTCAAGTTAATTAACAATCGAAAATTATTATTTGGGTTTGTAATGAATAATGAACAAGAGCAAGAATACATGGATTTAGGTCGAAGAGAAAAATACTAAGCAATCTTACTGTTGGAGTTGTAAAATTGTATTACCTTTGGATTACATTAAGGGTCCGTTTGATTGCAAAGATGTAATTGAATTGAATTGAAAACGAGTTTCAGGGAATTGAATTGTTTAGAAATTATATTCCTGAGAATTGTAAATTATTTTGTCTGATTGGGATAATTTTTCATATGGAAAATGTTGAAATAAAAATGTTTTTTGATCTCTGTTTGGCTTTGTTTTATATGAAAATTGTCAATTAAAGGGATATATTTTACTGGTGTTGGGGATAAAATTTGTTTCTATTGCCAACACACACACAAAAATAAAAAAAAATTCAAGAAAACCATCTATCTTTTGGTGTTCGTTTGACTTTGCTTTACATGAAAAATTGCCATTTAAAGGGAAATATTTTTTTACAATAATTTTTAAAATTTGTTTACATTACCAACAAAAAAAAAATCGAAAAAAAGTGCTGCAGTAGCCGAGAATTCCAATTCTCACCAAAAATTCTCACAATTTTTGTGAGAATTGGAATTCAAGGAAAACATGGAAATTAGTTTAGGTGGCATAAAATGTGGAATTCGAATTCTAGGGAAAATTTTGCCAATCAAATAACAAAAAATTGGAAAGATGGAATTTGATTTCCGTTTTTCATGGAATTGGGATGAAATCAAATATAGCCTAAGGGTTCATTTGACTGTAAAGATGAAATTTGGGTAGAAAGAAAACGAATTCCAAGAAATTAAATTTTCTAGAAATTATTTTACTTAGAATTATCAATTATTGTGTTTGATTTATATAATTTTTCATGTGAAAAATGTTGAAATAAAATTATTTTTTAATGTTCGTTTGACTTTATTTTTTATGAAAATTGTCAATTTAAGGGATATTCACTTCTACAATTGGTCATAGAATTTGTTTCCATTGTTAAAAATATCTGCATTTTGGTGTTCGTTTAACTTTATTTTACATGAAAATTGTTAATTTAAGGGGTATCCTCTTTTACAATTGTTTCTAGAATTTGTTTTCATTGTCAAAAATAAAAAAATAAAAACAAAAACAAAAAGGGGGAAAAAAGGTGGAAAACCAAAAACCACCAAAATGGTGGGAAAACCAATTCCTCAAAAACAAGGAAAAAGGTCACGTCGGTGGAAGGAAGTGGAAAACCAATTGCCAAGAAAATTTTCCCTATCAAACAGCCAAAAAGATGGAAAATGAAATTATATTTCCTAGTTCTACGAAAAATTGTTGCTATCAAATAGTGCCTAAGTGTAAGCTTTTATAATGGAGTGACAAATATTGCTATTATTGGATATGTGACACGTGTCTCATCCTAACATCTAATGAATCAAACCGTATAGTTGTCACATCTAGTTGTCCTAGGTCAGAGGCGACCTTAAATGCACTGAAAAATTGTTACCACATATCTTAGGCCTACCATTTGAAAAATTGATTAAGAGTACTTTGCTGCAAAGTTGTCAAATCAATCGAATGCACAGAAGATCCTCATACGGAAGATCATAAGGCCAAAGCGACATTGTGGAACATGCCTTGTGAGATAAAGGCTTATCTCTTTTGGAATTCTATAGCAACTACTTCATAGCACCATGCTTTAGAAATGGAGGTTTGGCTCTGTCATGTCGCTTCGACTAAGGTGCATAATTTACTTCAGCCTCTTACCTTGATTGCCTTAAATAGACCATGTATGCAAGTGATGTGAAGTGCCGACCTTGAATGGCTTCTCGCTAATTTTTAGCTGACTGTCACATGGCCTTCTATTAGCCCCTTGACGGCCGTAAGTTGTTGAAATATATGAGTACATGGGTAGTGCTTTGCTCCCATCCCGATGCCATGACTTAAATGTGTTTTGGGAGGGTTGCATTTCATGGAATGTGGTGCAAAAGCAGTAAAATGAGCAAATCGTGTGGGAATGAATTGGTTGGAGATGGACGATGAAGATATGGCATGAATGGAGCGTAGCGTGCAAGGCAATTAACGAAGATGACTTTGACATAATGCAGCCTAGAGAAATCGTTGCGTTCAAATTCGAAATTCAACGAATTGACCAGTCTTGGAGCTAGCTGACTTACTTCATTGTGATGGTTACTTATCCAGCCCCATGGCAATGGGATTTGACATGTACAATTGATTTTAAGCATGCCGGCAACTATTGGCATGTTGGAACAATTTTCATGTTGGAAAACATTTGAAATCTATTCCTAGTGGTTGGAGGTGTCAACCACACGAAATTGATGCATAAAATTCAACAGAAAAGCTGCAGAGCCCGGGATTAAATCTCGAGCTTGACACCTCAGCCCCTGATGTTAAATGGTGCAGGCCCCATGTATTAAAGATCAAGGGCCGAGGCATGCGCCACCTCGGCCCTGGATTGGATAGCATTTCTCAAAATTCAAGGGCTTTGAGATACAAGGCACTGGAGTGCATGTTGTGATCCTTAGCTAAAGTTCTTTTAAGTATTCTTTTATTGAGGTAGTGTAAGTCGGAAAAAACCTAGAAGATTTCTGGCAAACCCTTATGTTCATTTATTCCAATTCATGTCTTTCATATGCATTTTCTATTCTTCATTTAAGAAATCTTAAGTGTTTGAGGTTAATTGAGCCCTGTTCGATGGACATTATTCTATAAAAATGATTATTTGAATAGTGATTTTTTGAAAAATATGTGTTTAAAAATCGAAAAAAATTTGAGGAGTTAACGTATAAAATATTTTTTTTACGTAAATGTGTCATTGAAAATGAGTATAAAAATTAAAAAATTTGGCCATGTGTCACCTCGCTTGTTGGCGATATGTAACATAATCCCTCTATGATACTATTGGACATGTCCTACACCTCTAACCATGGTTAGTTTTATGCAACAAATTTGCAATAATACCTAAGCAACAAAATATGCGACTATTATCACTCTGCCGCTCAATCCACATAACCACCAACTTTACTCCCACTCCCTTCTACATGTCCATGGCCGCCAACACAGCCACCGGCGACCTCATCAGCCCGTCCACAACTAAACTGGGTTGGATCGGCACTGGAGTGATGGGCAGCTCCATGTGCTCCCATTTGCTCAAGGCTGGCTATGCAGTCAACGTTTTCACTCGCACCCAGTCCAAGGCCCAATCACTTCTTTCAATGGGGGCCCACTGGTTTGACTCACCGAGGTCTGTCGCTGCTCAATCCGATGTCGTTTTCTCCATCGTCGGCTATCCCTCGGATGTCCGCCACGTCATGCTTGACCCAACCACCGGCGCACTCTCCGGTCTCCGCCCTGGTGGCGTCCTCGTTGACATGACTACCTCTGACCCTTCCCTCGCCGAGGAGATTCATGCTGCCGCCGCTTCTGCCGGATGCTTTTCCATTGACGCTCCTGTCTCCGGTGGAGACCGAGGCGCCCGATCGGCCTTCCTCTCCATATTCGCTGGTGGCGAACAAAGTGTCGTAAATCGTCTCACTCCGTTGTTTGACCGCCTCGGGAGAGTGTACTACATGGGTGGCCCCGGGAAAGGGCAGTTCTGTAAATTAGGAAATCAGGTAACCATTGCCTCAACTATGGTAGGTCTATGTGAGGGTTTAATATACGCACACAAGGCCGGACTGGATTTAAGCAACTACTTGAACGCAATTTCGACCGGTGCTGCTGGTTCCAAATCCTTGGACTTGTATGGTAACAGGATATTGAACAGGGATTTTGAGGCTGGGTTTTATGTAAATCATTTTGTCAAGGATTTAGGGATTTGTTTGAGGGAGTGTCAGAATATGGGGTTGGCCTTGCCTGGTTTGGCATTGGCTCAGCAGCTCTATTTATCACTCAAAGCTCACGGGGAGGGGGATTTGGGTACTCAAGCTCTTGTTTTGGCACTCGAGAGGCTCAACAACATTTCACTTGAACCGACTAAATCTGATTCTAAGGGTGAGAAAGAAGCTTAAACTGGTAATGTTTTGACCTTCATGTGAATATTTTGTTTAAGGATGAATCTAGTCAATCTACTGTGGATCCTAAATAAATGTCAGAAATATACTTTCCAAATATCAACTTTGTCATGCCTGGGATTATTGGTTAGATGGTGTCTAGAGCTGTATGCATCAGTTTGTTTACTCTTTCACGTTCTTAAACTGTCGTCGCGTCTTGCTTACACCATTCTTAAGATTTGATGAATGTCTAATGAGTTTTCACAGTTGCTGTGAATTTTTGTTTTGCTCTTATTTGGTAGTATAAAATCTTCAAAATAGTAACTTGGCCTGTGCAAATATTAAGTATGTAGGCATAATTATATGACATGATTGTTATATGATGCAAGTATTGAAAGATACGTGGCTAGTGTTTACAATAAAAACTTGCACCTGATAAAATATTTGAGGAATATGTGAAAATTTTAGTTGAATTGTGTAAGCCATGCTAATTGGAATTGTTGTAGATTATTTGACCTAATGTTAGTAGTCAAGTTACATATTGTGGGGAAGTTGCTCCTCGTGAAGATTTGTACAAGCCTAAAATGGAATAACACTTTTGTTGGTTAGAATCCTTGAACTATAATGCCTTATGATCATTGTTGGTAGCTTAAAACAAAGTTTATCATAGTGTCAATATGTGTCAAAAATACAATTGAAGTTACTTAGAGGATCTTGTTTGACCAAGGGCTTCTAAATACGTGGTAAGAAATAGCCAACCCACAATGAATAGAGAGCCACCACACGTAGATTCTACTATTTGTGGCACCATCTTTTAAGTGTGCCATGTGTTCATATTTTCTTGATGATGAAATTTAAATTAGTTAACTGTAAAGTGTAAACTAGGTTCAAATTTGTTCAAATGCTACAGAATGATCCAATATGATCCAATATGTTGCAATGATATTGCAGGGTAATTGCCTCTTGAAATTCATCTAAATGATAAAAAAAGATCGTTTTTATAACTTTGACTTTAAATATGAAACATGGATGGGTGTAAGAATATTGATCTTGGATGAGAGCCTTTTTAACCAGACCAACTTGAACTTGTGTCACAGATTATAATGAAGAAATGAAATCCAGATGTATTAAAAATTTGTTGAATATTAATCTAGGTATTTTAGGTATTGTTACATGTCATGATACTTAAATGGAGACAAACTTGTATCTATATAGCCCTTGTTTGGGCTCCATTGTTTTAAATTATAATGAAAGGAAAGGAGGAAAAGTTTTTAGATTTATGTGTAATATTATTTTATTGAAAAATATGTAGTTGATAAGAAGAGGGAGGAAAATGAATTTTAATTTAATGAGGGCCAAACATGGACGTAGTGGATTGCTAATTTGGAAATAGAAATTGATGGGTACCTACGTAGCACGGATACTCTAACTAGGGTAGCGTACCTGTGTCCGACACGTGTCGATACCGACACTCTTCGATCACTCTACAATAATCATTTTCCTTTCTTACTATAGCTATTATATATTTTTAATTTAAAGTTATTAGTAAATAACAAATAAGTATTCATATTTAAAATATTTCAACAAAAAAAAATCAAAAATAAGCATAAAACTAAATTTAAACTATATAGATGAAGAATTTTAAAGATGTCGACGACGCGTCGTGTCGGTACTTTTTTGAAAAATCACGAGTCGACATATTCAACATGTATCGTGTCGGACACACATTTTTATGTCGGTGCATCATAGATGGGTACTGTTAGTGGTGAAGTTCTTCCTATCAGTACTAGCCACTTCATTCTGAGTTCATCTTGTTAGTCTCTTTAGCATTTATCAAGTATAAGTGATTACATGGCATCTGAGTTCTGTAAGGTCATATTTGAGCTTTTACACGTACATGTTAACCCTCTCTTAATTTGTAATCCTGAATTGCTTTTCTTTGCTCCATTTTTTCTGATAAAATTTTCCATAGAGCATTCACAAATTGCTTGTGCATGTTAACACGATCTAGTCTAATTCTTGGTTCCTCATGGAGCTAAAAGTGATAACAAAGTACTATGTGCTTTGTGGCATGGGAATACATTTTCAATTCTTGAAATCAGAACGATCGCGCGGTACAAAACCATTTTGTAGCTTTACAAGTTTTCTTTGTGGTATTTGCTAAATTTAAGGAGCAGGTTTACACGTATTATGTAATCTCCAAACTCCGCTTCCGACATTATGTATCAGGGTAGATATGCCCTACTGGTTTATGTTTGGAGCATAAAATGAATAGGTAGAGACAAACATTCTAGAGACTTCCTTATCTCTGAAAAGCCATAATGTATACCACTCATTTCCATTTCATAAGAGTTCTTCACTTCCTTTATTTGCAGCATTAGTAACAAGCACTCCTGGGCTGACCTTCTATAAAATAACATTCATTAAACATTATGTCGAGATGACAAAGTTCCAGTCATGGGACTTCCTTGACATGGTTGTGCAGTGATCAAAATTGGCTAAACTTTGACTTTGTATTTTTAAACCTAGTGTGAAGCCTTTACTTGGGCAAACCTCATCAATTACCTCTCCCATTCCTCACCATGACTTTGGGGAAGTATATGATACGTAAACATGTGATAGGGGGAACTCTATAAATTGACCGACCAATCACCAAAGCCTCAAAAATGATATGCTCCCATAATGTTGACTTGGATTTGGAAGTGGAAACAGATGCAATATCAACAAGCATTGCAGGGTCAAAATATTTATATTTTTATGGATTTAAGATGTCACATAAGAATTTTTGGGTTGGGTTTTGAGCATGTACGCTATGGCAGTTCTTTGGTGGATGATTCACTGATGACATAATTTTAATTGATGAATGTCAAAAAGGGTTAGACTGTAAGTTACAACTTTGGAATGCAAAGGCTTTAGGTGGAGTAGAACAGAAACCCAAGTGCATACAATTTCACCTTAATAATATTATGATAATGAAAATGTGGAGTTACTATAGATGCTTTGTCCGAAGAAATTGTTTTAATTATTTAGGTTTATTCGCTAGCGAAGAGGAATTGAAGAGGACATCGACAACCATTTTTAGATGTTCGAAACAGGGCATAGAAGTCTAAAATGAATTCCAAAAGTAGTTCCAAACTCGAATGTAGAAGATGAAATTATTGAGGTACACATTCAGAACATGAGAATAAATGTTCCAATAAATTATACATATGGCCGAAATCGATTCTAAGTCAATCCAGAGATCCAAAATGAAGTGCAAGCTGGAAATTATAACCCTGCTATCTGAAATCAATTTTATTATAGTCATCTAAAAGTGCTTAGAAGACGTCCAAAGCAAAATCAGATGTATGGAACACCTTCAAAAGGCTTATAATCGGATAAAACTCGTCAAAACTAATAATGACCTGCAACTTGTAAATGGCTGCACTACAAGGCTTTGAAGTGTTTTTCTTTCAGTGAAAATATAAAGTTCAAAAGTTTGTATTAAAAGCTTTCAGCAGAGTTCTTATGAGCCAGAAATAGTTATGGAACAATTTTTATTTTTATTTTTTGTCTAAAACTTAATTTCGGATTCATCCTTCCTAGCTTATGTAAACCAGAACCATCCTGGTGACTACTTTACTAATCCTTTTATAAATAGAGGCTATTCGTTTCGTAGAGATTTAAATATGAAGTAAAAAAACTTACTAGGTTCTTTCATTCTCAGAGGGTACCAAAAGATGCTTGATCTTTTATCTTCAAATTAGTTATTCCTTTTTTTCTTTTTCTCTATTTTTTAATTTCTTTTGTAGATTTTGGAAATTGGTTCCTCTGTACACTCTAAAGTTGTTATCAATAGTGTTATTTTTCGAAGTCTACTGGGGAACTGCTAGTAGTGGATCTACGTCTAGAAAGACTTAATGTCTCAATCACTATGAACTCAGCATGAATCACTCCTCTCTATCTTTTTATCCTAATATATGATTATTGCCAAACTGTTTTTGTCAAACCATCGAAAGATACAACTGCACTTCGTTCTTAACATTTTTCAACTCGTATTATATTTGTGGTGGTAATTTTTTTAAATCTGCAATATCATTTTGCCTTTCTATATAGTTCTTAAAATCCTTAATAAGTTGTTTGGGACCAACAAATTTTGCAGTGTTTGGAGTAAGAAAAAATTCCATTGGTGGTATAATGCTTCAATACATGACTACTTTTCTGCTCTTAAAAAAAATATTCTGTTTGATGGGAATTGGCTTTTCGGCCACCTTTCATCTATAAGGCGCCTATTAGTCATATAGAAGCAGCCTATGGATAATTAATCAAATTCTTAAGCTTCTAATAATTTCCAAACTTTCGAAATCCCCGTTGGAGTTTAAACGTCGAATGCAAGTGAGCATAAAAACAAATATAAATGCAAAGCACCAAATGTTTTTGTTTCCCAAAAATCATCCTGTGAAAATAGGAAATTGGAAAGGATGGAGAATAAAGATTTGAAAACTAAATTTATAGTGGTTTGGTCATTCAAACTATATCTAGTAGTAGAGCGCTCCCTATTTGTGGATCAACAAATTTCACTTTGGACTTTAGCAGCACAATCAATAGTATGATCCTATGACCTATGTGTGGAAGTCAATTATAAGGCTCTAACATTTATCATTTTCACCTTTTATTCTTGAAGCACGATCAGGGAATGGCCAGAATAGCAGAGATTAAGTGAAAATAGATGTCATTTCACTGAGAAACCAACGGAGGTACTATTTATATATCGATCTCACACCTCAACCTCTATCTAGTTTCAGAGATATGTGCGCTTACGAACTTTGTAAGTGTTCTCTTCATGAACATGACGAGTAAGCTTTGCATGAAATGACAAGGATTGGGCGGCCTTTTGGATAGTGTATGGACTGTTGAGGCATCTAAAGTGATTCATTAATTCACTTATTTTATATGCTCATCATATTATCATTGTGAGCTATGCCTAATGCTAGAAACCCTTATGGTCAAATTTGTGGAATTGAGTGATTGTTATTGATGCTGCAACTTGCATTGCTTTATGCATTCTATGAATTGTTCACTAATCTTGAAAATTGTAAGTTTAAATACATACCTTCAATATCTTCTCAACCGATAGATATCTTGTGTTGAACTTCAATCTTCATGTCAAGTTTGCAGTGTCTACTTTACCTTTACCTTTCACTTTCGACATCATCTCATTATTCAGTTTTATCTACTCGATTGATCTTACTAATCAAGCATTTTCAATATATTTAATTGCATTTATACATTCATGATGATGTTATACGACTGTCATATTACATACATATTCTTGGTAAGTTGTTTATATTTGAAGATTTGAGCATCAGATCATTCGTTCTCCCTTGGCCATAAGGAGCGTGATGATGTGTTGAAATGAGGATATTAAGCTATGAAGACAATCGAAATATTAGGTTTATATTGGTTTTGTTAGCTGGATAAATATCTTAATGTCGGTGAAGATTATTCGCCGCTAAATCCTAATCATTGCAATTTAAATCCTCAGCAACCCAAGTGTGGATGAATGTTAGAAATATGATTATCATGTAGAAATATTTTAATTGTATTTACGTGATATTATGTTGGTTGAATTGAGTAATATTATTTATCACCACTGATGTTAAACGCTAATGTAGGTGGCAATTACATGACATTATACGATAAATTCATATAAATGCAAAGTTACATAACTCATTTAATCAGACCAATAAAGTGTAGCCATTTAAACTGATGCCTAACACCATTGGTGTTAGATAAGCGTTATTTGGTTGAATTTGATTTTGGTCATTGTATTTGAATTCGATGATTGCACGAGAATTTGACGTACATTATGATATATTGAACTCATGCTATTAAATGTTAAATCATTTTTGCAATGTCAATGTTCTATGATGAATTATAAATTCCAGGTTTTCTTTCTATGTGGAATTACTGGTAATGCGTTGGTGACTCCCATTAATTTGTTGATTCTCATACGTGATAAAGGCACGCTGAAATATTTATACTGTGATTCCTAAGTTTTTTTGTGCAAAGAACTAGGATCAGAAGGACAAATTGACGAATAAAACTATTTCCTGTAAATTTTTTTTTTAGACATGATGCAGTTGTGACCATAGAATGTGACTGACTATATGCCTGTTTTTGAAGTTGTATAGTTGTGAAGAATAAGAATTAATGTACAAACTAAGTGTTGGCAAGATTTTTGTCATTGATTTTCATTGATTTAAAAACTGGTTTTTGAAATGTTTAGCTTAGATTTTGTCAACAAATAATTTGTAAATCGAGTTTGTTAATTTAGATTGTACAAATAGCATGATTCAACTAGCCCATGGCATGCTAGATATCTGGTCTTGTATTGTCAAATAAATAAGCTTCTCAACAAGCCTTCTATACTATGTAATATCCTCAAAGTCTTCATTCTCCTTCCACGTCTAGGTTAGGTTCCATAGGGACATTTGCTGGTTTTGCCCCCTAATGGGCTTGTTTCTTCTAAGAGATCTGTGGCATACTTTCTTCGAGATAACGCTACACCTTGTTTACCAAGAGCAACTACAATACCAAGAAAAAACCTCAGCTGGCCAATATATTGTACAACAAATTATTGTCGCAAGTATTTTTTGGATTCTTCGATGCCAGTTACATCATACTTGATAACAAAATATCATCAACATATCCAATAAATATCACAATACCAATGTACTATGCTTCACAAAGACAGAATGACCAGCTCGACTTCGTCTAGAACCTGTGACAAGAATTACTAGGCTAAATTTATCAAACCAAGCTCGAGGACTCTATTTCAACCATGTGTTCTTGAGTTTACAAATCAGATAACTCTTCCCCTGAGCAATAAATCTCAGTAGTTGCTCCAAATTAACCTCATCGGCTAAATCACCATAAAGAAATGCATTTTTCACATCTAATTTATGCAACGGTCAATCTAGGTTTACTGCCATAGATATAAGTATACGCACGGAGCTATTTGAGCAACATGATAGAAAGTCTCAAAACAGTCTATGCTCAGTGTTTGAATTTATCCTTTAGCAATCAATCGTGCCTTATATCTCTCAATAGAACCATTTAGTTGATATTTGATAGTGAAAACACATCTACATCCAACTGGACGAACCCCCATACGTAATGATACTAAGTCCCACATGCTTCTAGTAAGAAGTGCTGACATCTCCTCACCCATAGCCTTTGTCTAATCAAGATTATGGAAAGCCTATTGGTAATGCCTAGGAATGGATATAGATGATAGAGACTGTGCAAAACGACAAAAAACGGACCAAGTTTATCAAAAGAGACAATTAGTTATTGGTTGTTGAGTGCAAGAATGCTACCTTTGTAATGAGCAGTTGGCAAATGATTAGAATCAAAATTGGAATTTAGTGGAGTTGGAGACGACTCCCAAGCTGGAGGGGTTTTCACAATGTTTGCCTAGTGTAAAACTGTAAGGGTTTAGAAGGTGGTGTAGAAGTATAAACAGGAGTAGGAAAAGAAATAGCTTTTGTGGAAGTCGAGACCTTTAAAAAAGATTCAGACTCAAAAAAGGTGACATCTGCAGAAGCAAACCTCTTTTTAGTTCCATGATCATAACACCGATACCCTTTTTGAGTTCAAGAATACCCTAAGAAAACACAAGGAATAGCTCTAGGAGAGAGCTTATCCATACTAGTTGCAAAAAGGTAAATAAATCACACAACCAAAAGCACGAAGTGTGTGTGAAAATGAAGAAGAATTAGGAAAAGGACGTTTTAAAGGAATTTCACTTCTAGGAGTGGATGATAACATCCTATTAATAAAGAAACTTGCAGCGAGTATAGCATCACCCTAAAAGGATTTAGGTACATGCATTTTAGCATAACAGTGTGTTCAACCTCAAGAAGATGTCGATTTTTACGTTCTGCCCACACTATTCTGTTGTAAGGTATAAGCACATAAAGTTTGATGAATATACCATTTGACGAATAGAACTTTGAGAAATTAGATTTCTCATATATTTTAAAGCATTGTTAGATCTTAACACATGAATATTAGAAGAAAAGCTGAGTCTTTATTTCACCATGAAAGATTTGAAATACATCAAGAACAAATGACCTATCTTTTAACAAATAAAGCCAAGTCATTGCTGAATGGTCATCCACAAAGGTAATAAAATACCTCACTTGACATAGTAGAATAGGGACAAAAACCCCATACATTGGAATGGACTAAATCAGAAGGACACATACTTCGATTTTCTCTAGAAGGAAAAGATGTTCTATGATGCTTACCTAATTGACATGCATCATAGTTTATTTCAGAAACAGATTCACAAAAAGAGACAATTTTTTTAACCTAGAAAGAGGTGGATGACATAAACGACAATGCCAGTTGAAAGGAGACAACCTCCCAGCAACAATAGCTTTAAATGTTGAATCACGAGTAAGATGGTAAACTCCTCCTGACTCAAAGCCGTGTCCAATGACTAATTTATCTGGAGATTTTGATAGATACAATAAGTTGGAAAAAAAATTTACAGAACAATTTAAGGATTTTGTAAGTTGATTAACGTATAGGAGGTTAAATGACAATTTTGGAAAATGTATGACATGATTAAATGCAAAAGAAGAAGTATGAACTGTTAAGGCAGGATCACATGATATTAAGTTCAAGAAACAAGAAAACCTTAATCGAACAAAAATAAAGTTGCAGAAAATTAAAAGAACCCAAAGGAATTATTTTGGCCTAAGGCTCAGAGGTTCGGCGACCACTTCTAATGCCTACATTCCCCGTTGAGCATCCAAAGATTTGGATTATGCTCGGTTGCACTAAACAGCCCAAAATGGCAACAAAAATTACAAATTGTTCAGAGAGATGAAAATGAGACTTATCTCTCAAGTATAGTGATGGATTTATAGAGATTCACTCAGATCTCAGCCCTCAAACCCTTCGAACACCGCCACAATGTTACAACAAAGAAATCACTCAGATTTTTTCACTATTCACACAGAATATTACAAATCAAAGGAAGATCTCACTATACTGTACATAAAATCAAAGATTTTACGCATTAAAAACTCAAAGAAAATGATCATCTCTCAGATCGCCAATATTTTCTCTTTGAAAATCGTAGAGACGAGAGCAAGATGAAGGGTGTAATATTATGTTCCAGAAGGCCCCACATTTTTAACAAAGGGTAGATGAACCGGCTCCATCCAACATCCAGAGATAGTCCACGTGTTGGCCATCCAATAAGTTGTCATCACTTATTAAGTCGTGTTTCACATAAACACGATTTTGTCACAAGTCAAATTCTAGAAGCACCAATTGAAGAGAACAAGATTCGACTCCAACAATCTCTACCTTACTGCTAGAATTTGAGCTATTAGTGTAGCCAAGAGCATGATCTTATATCTTTTTCATTTGCTCCAAGTACCTATACATGAATCACAGAGAATCAATAGATAAAAGTTTCAAGCAGTTTAAGAATTTGTTTAAATGAATTACTTTTGTGCCCATATCAGGTGAATTAAACTGAGTAGAAACTTTTTCAATCTTAATTTTACTTTTTGAAATTATATCTCTTATAAAATAGTATTAGACATAATATGTTTCAATCTATCATGAAACGTGAGATTTTTGCTTAGGTGAATAGCACTTTGGTTATCAGAAAACGAAATATGTGATTATCATCGAAACTCATTTCAGACAATAAACCATTCAACCAAATCCCTTCTTTAACAGCATCAGTTGCAGCTATATATTCTGCCTCAGTTGAGGACAAAGCCACAACTTTCTGAAGTTGAGATTTCCAACTGATAGTAGTACCACACATTGTATAAAAATAAGATGAGGTTGATTTTCTATTATATCTATTGCCAGTAAAATCAGAATCAGTATACCGTTTCAAACTTATTCCATTTTTATCTGATTTAAGCATTAAGCCTAAATTTGATAATCCCTTTAGATACTTCAATAACCATTTTAAAGCATGCCAGTGTTCTTCACCAGGATTACTCATAAATCTACTTAAAATGCTAATACTATATGCAAGATCAGGTCTGGTACATATCATCAAATACATCACAGAACCAATTACATTAGCATATGGAATTTTTGACATTCTGGCATATTCATCTTCAGATTTATGACAAAATTCAGAGGACAACCTAAAATGACTAGTAAGAGGCAGTGTCACAGGCTTACAATCATACATGTTGAATTTTTTTCAAGATTTTAGACACATAATCACATTGATTTAAAAATAAC